CTGACACTGTAAACGATTTATCTAAAAAGTATACGACTATCCATAGTGAGTGTGTTGTAGGGCTGAAGGTTTAAAGTCACTCTATGAGACTGTTGCTCTACCTTTGGTGATGCCCAGCTAGATGACCCAGCTGAAGTGACATCGGATGAAATTCCGCTGTGATGACGTTCGGCCTAACACTTGTCAGATCATTCCGGGATGGTTTCAGCAATTTTCCTGTTTAATTTATTTAAATATGGGAAAATATCTTATTATTCTTTTAAACACCTTTCTTTTGCATCAAAACATCTGTAGTCATACAAAATAACAAAAATATGGCCTCTGGAGAAAAAAAAATTCTAGTGATGTCACCATCCGTCGGTCGTCTTTAATTTCCATTTAATGGATGAATTTCCATACAGTTCCAGCCATGTCCATGACTGCTTTCGGTCTTGATGTATCTTTTACGTTTGACAGAAATAAATTCAAGGATATTGAAAATAAATATTCCTCTATTTATTTTCCAACAAGGCCTATTTTTAACTTAGGTTCATTTGAAACTGATTTTACTCTTAACCTTGATTTTAGAGTATATCTAAAGAATAATTGTGTTTACCTTTTTGGCTGATCCACAGTGCATTCTTTGAGTACCTTCCCATGAAAGGTTATTTATATCATAAATCAATGTAAAGTATAAGGGGATCATCTGCTTTTTTCGATCTCTCTTACCGATTTTAATGAAAATTACACCCTTTTATCTAGACCCTAGTGAGATCTCAGATATTAAGTTGTATTTTTAACTGCTGAAAAACTTTTTGAGTTATATTCAAAAACGAAAAACAAAATTTAAAAAAGGAAAATTGACAAAATGGCGAAAATTCTAAAAGATAAAAAAAAATATAAATACACAGCCATTCTGATAGTTTTTTTAACACATCCATCCAATATAAGGTAGAAAAATAATCTTGCAACATAATCATCTATCATCTACGTGAAATTCCCAGAGCGTAATATGGTTGGTCGAAAATCCAAATAATAATAATAATACAGGCATTCTGAATAGAACAATCTTTCCTCTATTCCATAGCAAATGCACATTTTTTTATTCGTCCCAGTTTTTATGTGAATATTTTACCAAAGCAACTTTCAGGAATCAAAAAAAAAAATTTACATGTCACTTTTACAAGAAGCAGAGGGGAAAAAACTCACATATTCCCTAGATATTTTATTTACCTCTAAAATTAGCCATTATATATTTATTTTTTACTAAATTTTGAAGTCGAAATAGGTATAATTTCGAAATAACGGTCGTTGAAGTTTTTTTTCCTTTCCATATTTTATTAAGTATGAACAATAATAGGTAGAAGAAGAATCATCTTACAATATAGTAACCTATCATCTACGGGCATTCTGAAGTCTTGCGGAAAATCCAAAATAATACAGGCATTCTGATATCTTTTGTATGGCGAAATACTTTTTTCGATTTCGACACAGTTTTTTGGTGAATATTTTACGTAGACAACTTTTAGAACACCATAAGGCTTTATTATATATAGGTCACTTTTAAGAGTAGCACATGAAAAAATTGCAAAAACTAATTGCATCACTGAATAAATTTACTATTCAGCCACAGAATGAGCCATATTACATTTATTTCGGACTAAAAATACGTGCGGTACGCGTTAAAACGTAGTGTACAGAAATATCGCGATTTTTTTTTTTCAACTTTACATTTTTACATTATGAATTACAAATGATATATGAAATAGTTCTATATGATGAAATCATCTATTATTTACCTTTAATATTGCTATAATGGGGTTTTGCAACATGAAATACCGGTCAGAAATGTCATCGTTCTCCATGCCAGTGAACACCACACTCGCAGGCCGGGACGCGAGTGAAGGCGCCGCGATCACGTGTTCCTGAGGCCAGTCCTGGGCGGTGTAAGTCTACGGGACGAAATACCCATCTTTCACACCAACACTCCCATGAAATACATATATACATACACAGGGTGGTGTAACAGTATATATGTACGATATTTATATATATATATATTTCATTGCGTGTATTTCATGATACTGTTACCACCGTTTGTTTGTTTTATTGTTGTTTGGTTGTTTATTTTTACATGGGTAAATGAGTTATGAACAGATTTTAATGAAATTTTTTTCAGAGTGTACTTAGCCTACCTTAGACGCCGTTACATTTTGCCGGTGATCTGGATCCAGGATTTTTTTTACGTAATTCAAAAAGTTATGAACAGATTTTTATGAGATTTTTACCGGAATGTTTGTCTTCGCCTAACATTCCATCAAATATTGGTGGTGATCAGGATCAGTTGACAAACCTACCTTCATTTTTTGGGGTGGGGCTTTGTATGTTCAAAACGTTTTGCTGAAGGGTGAAACTGACGAAATATGATCCAAAGAAAAAGTAATATACTCTATAGGAACGGCATGTCCTTCCTGTTGATTTATATAATGCCGAAAAATTGAAGGTCGGCCTCAAAATATGTGGAATTTTATAAGCTTTCTGGAGATGATCTCATTTTTAATCATATGTCACAATTGCCGATTTTCTAAGTTAAGGTGAAAAGTCATTTTCGGTGGAAACCAAATGTGGTGGCTACCACTTTAATAATTGCGGGGGGGGGGGGGCTTCAAAATTTGAAACTCTTGGAAATGCATATACCTGCGTTGGCAAAAAAAATGGTAGACGATTCCCTGAATGTTTTTGGTTCATATTATATTCTTTAGTTCTCTTTTTTAATATGTCCTTCCGCTACCAGGACATGCATGGTTTCCATTATCAAGCGTTGACTGTCTTCTCCATTCCATTAATCGGTTCACAGATATTTACGTATCCTTGTCAACACTGGATTTCCGTCATTCTCCCAAAATGATTGGTTACATTGATTTCAGTCACATTCTTTAGTCATCTCTTATGGCATGTTCAGATGTGCTCACGCAATTACATATCAATTTCCATTTTGCTTTTTTATTGCTTTTTATGAACTTATGAACGTAAAACGAAGCTTCTGCAATCTTTATTAAAGAGGTTAAAGATAAATACTTTTTGCAGCAAATTCAGCATCTAGGACACTGACAAGTATATTTTTGGGATTAGTAAGTGCTACGTAAAACAAAATACTTACGTATCTCCAATTATTTTCATGTTCCTGGGGTATATCAGTCATTTTCTTGTGAAGTTTTACATGATACACAAGGCATAAGGCCATGCTTCCCCTCTGGCTTAGGGGTGAAGCCAAGTAACGAAAGGTCATACAGTAGTATAATAAAGTATTGCGGCAAAAAGGTTAAAAATGAGTTACCGATTAGGACAAACTATGTTAGATGTCAAAGGTTGTAGAGCACTGCTGGTTAGTATGGCAGTGAAGAGGTTAAAGAGGAAATAGCAAACGGAGTACGAAGGCAGTTCAATACTAACAAAGCCAGTCTTCCATTCCTTTCAGCACGGCTCTCGTACTTTAGGATATGGATAGAAGGGGATGAAGAAAGGGAACAAGAAAGGAGAAGAAATGACTGTGCAAAATTAGTTACGACGTGGGTTGAGGTCCAGCGTGGGCTCAGTCTTCGTCTCCTAAACCCACCAACGACGACGACAATGACCACGGGAGCAAGGGGTTGGGCATATTGAGAGCAGTTGGCTGGGTGGTCAAAACACAATTTCTGACATTGACGAGGAAGGGGTCGATATGGTCAGACAGGACAGGACAGGACAAACCACCAATGTAAACTTCATAGGAAGGTCATGTCTACGGAAGCTAATCTTGGCAATATTTGTGTAGGTCTACGCTGACCTCTGGGAGGAAGTTTAGCATTGTACAGTCACTGCATCACAGTCAACGAGGCAGGCAAACAGGTCGTTTTCATAGTCAGACCAGTACTTGTAGACAGGGCAATTAGCCGGGAAGATGGAAGCAGTTCCGATACAAATTTTAAGTGTGGAGTGCGGCTGGGCAGGACTACGTTTGCCTGCTAAGTCAGTCGGGGTAGATTGTGCACGAGTCTGGGACCCAGTTATTATCATTACAAGGCGTGAACGATCAAGACGGCTGCGAAAGGTAACTTTGCCTACTTGTTTTTGGGAGACATTTTTGGAAGAGGAAGGTATTGTCAGCGTAGGGGCTGTAGGGGGAATCAAAGAATCGATCCCATTTAGCTGGGCTAAAAAGAGCATTCTATTGTTTTGCAGGTGGAATCAGTAGAAGGACGAGAGCAAGAGGAAGAGGTGGTGATGTAGAGTGAATTAGTACTGTGGGGAGGAGGATAATAAGGATGAAATATAACAATATGGGAGGAGAGAGCAGAGAAAAAATACCACTGTTCAGGAGGAGGAGTGGAAGATGTTAGGAGAGAGAAGAGGGTGTATTCTGAAGGTCGAGAATGATCTGGGTGAATGTTTTAGAATGGACAGAGTTGACAGCAAGTATCAGTGGTCGGAACCGTGGTCAAAGGAGACGCGGGGGTTAGAAAACCAATGAAATCAAATTTGGTTTAGGTAATGAAGGGGCAAGCTTTAATGCCCCTAATAAGGGTAAAATATATTCATTATTGGCCATGGTGAGCCTGAAATAAGTGGGGAAACGAAATGGTCTACCCCTCAGGTACCCCATAATGGTTATGGGCTAGGCGATTCACCAAGGCGCTACCATGTCAATGGCTCCTGAAGGCCGTTCAGGACTGATACAAAGCCAGATTTTCAACCTTTCAAGGTTGAAAATCTGGCTTTGTATCAGTCCTGTATCAGCTCTTTCACTTCAGGAAGTGGACAGAATAAGGGATGGAAGAAGAGAAGGAAAAGGAAGAGGGGAGAAAGACCATGCAAAATTAGTTGTGGCAAAGGTTGAGGCCCAAGGCTGGGGTGGTCTTCTATACTGGGTCTCAATCCCAGTCTCCTATGCCCCCCACGTTAACAATGGGCATGGGTTGGGGGGGGTATATGGTGTACAAGTTGTAAGTACTAAGTATTTTGTAGGGTTAAATGAAAACAAATTATCGTTCTTCTTTTATTACAAAATGACGAAAATACTAAATGTTAAATGAATAAAATTGTGGACATGTACACCGACCTCATCCATCTCTATGATACCTGTCATTGTGCGAAATATTAATACCTGCCTAAAGAATGTTATCCCTAAACTGCAAACATGGAGACAATTTTATAAAGAGCAAATGTTCTCAACAGTGTAACCTTTGTCTAATGTGTATCAGTGTTTGGAATGTAATACTATCCTTCCCTTAAGAGGAACACACAGTGAAGAACTGAAGCACCTGCTATCATAGAAAACAGTTGTCCATCTATGGTTATCACTGAGCAAAAGGATTGTTCTTTGTTATCAGCATAATATCAACTGAATCTGGTCTCCCAGTCTTTGGATTTGATATACTTTTTTTTCCTGAGATTACAGATAAAAGGCAAAAACAAAATTTTAATTAAAACTGTGATTCATCTCAACAAAAAATTGACCTTAGATTACACTTACTGTTTCCCCTTTCTGAATTATGAATGGCCCTCCGCTTCTATCTACTTAAAATCAATTCTACATTACTACATAACATCAAAAACTAAGTATATATTAGTTACCGGTCACTTCATAGTCCGAATGACAAATTTCTTAGAAGGTAAGACGTTTTTATACCCAAGTACCTGGGTAACAGAGCATTTTTGGGGAAGATACATTCATAAATGTAGGAAAATACATATTCCTTTTTCCTGTAAAGCTTGAGGAATGATGCACCTGTATGCGTGTCACTTTAAGTCTGCTGAATTCACATTTCTCCAATTTTGCTTACACATGTAAACAGAAAGGTCTCAGAAATCTCTTCTATTCCTGCCTAAGGTAATCCACCCACAAAGAATGTATTTCAGTACGAGAGAGTATCAGTCATTTTATTTTTATTTTCTATTTTAATATTTAAAAAATCGTAAATCTCTACAAGTTTAATCATTCAACCCCCAATGCCCACCCCCTCCAAATAGAAAAAAAATAAATAGATAAAAAAAGTACCTCCCCCCTGACCCTATCCCCTTTTTCCCTTTCACCCCTTATTCAGCCACCTTCTTCTTTCTCCTCCCTCTGCCGTCCTGTGTGCCAATGCCTCTCTTCCCAGACTTTACATATAGTCCCTTCGGTCGGCCCTTCTTCCTCTCCGCCCGTTCTTTTTCCTCCAGTTCCTGGTTCTCGCGTTCGATCAGAGTGATGAGTGTGTTGCAACGACGCTGCAGTTCCAAAGCTGTTCTGCTCTTGATGAACCAATCAAAGCGGAACTGGGGTGCTGACCTATCAGAAACAGATAAAATTTGAAGGTATCACATATCAGGAAGAAACTAACTCTTCAGTGATGGGTACATCTATGGCCATCATGACATAACTGTCTATACACACCATGACTTGCAACAGGTGGGCCAGCTGTACACAGCTAAGGCCTAGCCACAAAGACAATTACATATACAACATAATACATTTCAAAAACATCTGTATCACATACACACTTGTTAAATTCACTTCTCTTACCTTACAGCTGCTCGTAACTCCTCATAAACATTTTCTTTGTCAAAACCAAGCTTGTGAAGCATACAAACAAGGAATCTGTCTTCCTCCTCGGTATAATTTTTGCCCTTGTTGGTTCCATAAGAAATTCGCAGCTGATGGAATGGTGCCCTGTACCGTGCCATCTGCAAGAGAGAGCCAGGTGAATTCCTCAATTCTTCATACTTTTGTTAAAAGTTTAAATTGAATCCAACATGAATTACTAACTAAAGACAAAAAAAAGAAGACATTAAAAAAAAGCAGCAATCTATTCATCTTGGTAATACAAAGCCAATTCCATACTACACAACAATCTAAATTTAGATCAGCACATTTCATATATGCCTGCATCCTTACCTTAGCATCTAAAGCTTTCTTGATAGAGGCTCTTCTCTGGATCTTGGCTTCTCCTCTCTCAATCTGTGCCAAGATGCGGTCGCAGTCCTGGAGCTCAGAACACCGTTCCCAGAACACAGCAGAGTATTCCATGACTTCCTCTGGTGTCTTGCCTTCCACTTCCTGTTTTTAAGGGGGAGAGAGGAGGTGAATGAGGATGTGTATAGATTTTGGAGCAAGAAATATGAGAAAGATATTATACAAGAATAGAAAATTCGGATCTAGCTATGAGGATTTTGAGTTGGACAAAACTTCTTAAAAGTCATTTCTAATAATTTCATCAGCATCAGCTTATACCCATTTTCAATCTGACTAATCAAAAGAAAAAGAAAAATATGATCATCATTTTTACCTTAGCAATTTCTCAATATCATCACGTCCATACTTCTCATTCGCCTTAATAAACTGGTTAAAGTCACGCTTGCTCCAGTTGAGGAAACCCTGTGTCAGGAGCTGGTCCCTCTCCTCCATCTCCTCTTCTGTAACTGGTTCTGCTTCATCAATCTTCTTCTGCTCCTCCTTCTGAATACGAGCTGCGTCTGCCATGAACTCCGGATTTTTGGGTACCTATTTAGAAGGTGACAATAAGCCAAGTTACTGGATGACATATTGGTTTGTTCACTCTATAAAGTGACAAGATAAAGATAGACATTTCTACAATTTTCACTAACCCATTCATGTAAGATGTCCTATTTGCATCATGGCATACATTTCAATGAGGCCAGGTGACATCCAATTATATTCCCAGATCCCAGCAATCAATAAGTGCCTCTGAAACCCACCCATGATCCACACAACAACCAAGGAAAATAGCTGTGCACACTAACAAACCCAACCTTGCAAAAACTATTTGAAATTCCACTCATTATGAACGGGTTAATTTGATACCTTTGTCACAGACGATTTGACATCAAACATAGTGCAAACGTCAACACCACTAAAAACAGGAAGTGTAACATGCAAACGAACCTTGTAGCTGACAGTCTTGCGGTAATAGTAGATCTCCTTATCAAGAAGCTCAAACAGCCTGGGGGGGAAGAACTGGAAGTCTTGTACCACGGGCTGCTTAGGGGGTCTGGGTGCCTGTTAGAAAAGAGGTGGAATTTTTGTTTTCATCTTTTAGTCTTACCTGGAAATGATGGCCAACCAGCTGGATTCAAGCCACCATTCTCGATTCTGTCTATCATAAGGAGCTAAGGGTAAATTGACCTTTGAATAGGAATGAATCAATTTTTTTAATTGCCAAATGTTACTCAAGCTATTCATAACTTACCTATAGCTAACAAAGCAAAGGATCTCTGAACACCCAAAACAATCTAATTTATCTATTCTAATACTTTTCTTTTTACTAGACAACAGATCAATATCAGAATTAACTTAATCCTTAATCTTTATGATAAAGAGTATTTTCATCACAATAAAATTTGATTACAGACATATTCCTATATTCCTTAAAACTGTCTAAAGAAGATATTTTTGTTACACAGGAACAACCAACGTACTCTGTTCTACATTACTTTTCTTACCTACAAAACTTGGCAACCAAAAAGAAAAAAGAAAAAAAAAGAGGATGGTTATAAGTATATAAGTTATACCAGTTTTTTCTCAACCATTCCTCTCACACTGAAATAAAGGTGATATACAACACTAAGAGAATCTTTAATTAGTCAAAGGCAGACAACACTGGTTAGGTCTTATAAGTATACAGACCACAGCCACCACTAAAATATCAATCATTTCTTTTTTTATCATCAGACATGAAAACCAGCCGTAAACACACCACTCGCAGAAAACAAAGTCTCATTTCTCGATGCACCAAATCTAAGATCTAAAAGGTTTAGTCAAACTTTACACAAATATAAGTTATAGGCTAGCCCAGCATTGTGACAAAAAGGGCATTAAAAGGAGGGGGGGAGGTCAAATAACAAGAGCATGTCAGGTTAGTATGTCAAAAAATATATATAATAATAAAAAATGTAAATAAGTAAATAAAACCTGCACAAAGTCTACAAGCTTTGGATCTGCTATGAGTCTTATTAGCCAAACAACTGGGAAAAAAACTGTTTGGGGGTCTTTAGTCCCTCCTTGAGTGACAGTCTGGGCACAGGGAAGGATAACCCATAAGAAAAATTCTCAATGAAATTCTAACTCTTAGCTAACACTCCCCTACACAAGTATCCATTTATAGTGACAGGCAAACAAAGATATGATATATGCGTAACATACGCTCAACTATAAATGTTTTGTAAATACTCTTTGGCTTTAATATAACAATCTATCATTAATTTCTACAAGTTTCCTGCGGATTTCATTTCTTCAAGTTTATTCATCAACAATGAAATTGGAAGAAATCCTAAGTGCTTGCCATAAAAAAATTGCAGCCATTGTTTAATATGAAAAATATTCCATGTTTACAATTGTAAAACATCATATCTTTTTCATTTCATTTAACAAACTGTCCACTAATTCCCTGCACATGTAAAAGGTTTCTTTTTAAATCAACTCAAGAACCTAGAAATGCCTAAAAAAATATATATATATAAAAAATCATAACAAACATAACATAATACTGCATAGCTATATTCATGGCTAATGACATTCTTTTAAAGTAATTCCCCAGAAAATATAAAATAATACAAGGAAAAAAATAAATTATAAATTACTTTTGTTTAGTGTCCTTGATCCTGAACTGCACTTATGTCTATAAAATTAAGAGCCTCTTTTAATATGCTCTGAAGACATGGTATATAAAACCCTGACAGGACATACTCCCACTTTTAAACCACTTTAAGAAAGCATTTAACGAAAGAAATACAGAAAAAGCGAAGAGAAAGAAAAGGAGAAAGAGAGAAAGAGAATGAGAAAGAGAGAAAGAAAAGGAGAAAGAGAGAAAGAAAAAGGAGAGAAGAAAGAGAAAGCGAAAGAGAGAAAGAAAAAGAGGAGAAAGAAAAGAAAGAAAAGATTAGGGGAGGGTGAGGGGAGGGGGGAGGGGAGGAAGAGAAAGAAAGAAATAGGGGGGGAGGGGAGGGGGGGGAGGGAGGGGAGAAGAGAGAAAGAAAGAAAGAGGGAAAGAAAGAGAGAGGGAAAGAAAGAGAGAGAAGAGAGAAGAGAGAGAGAGAGGAAAGAGAGAGAGAGAGAAAGAGAGAGACAGAGAGAAAGAGAGAGACAGAGAGAAAGAGAGAGACAGAGAGAAAGAGAGAGAGCCAGAGAGAGAGACAGAGAGAAAGAGAGAGAGCCAGAGAGAGAGAGACGGACTATACTCCCAACCACCTTCCCCATGATTACACACGATTACAGAAAACATGAAATCCTGCCCGAAACCCAGTGAAACCCGTGAAATGAGCCTTCCCTGTGGTCACTAGTCCATGTACACCCAAGCCCGAAACATGCTCTAGAAGCGGAAAACAAGATAAGCAAACGTGGTAGCTAGGAACACAAGAGCCAATGAGGCCTACTTACACCTCTCCAATTGGGCTGAAGAGGAAATTTACAGAAATGTTACAATACGAGGAAGAACAAAATGCTGAAGAATGACGTGCTGGAAGTTTTTTTTTTTTTTTTTTTTTTTAATAAGTATAATATCTTGAATATGTTCTAACTTCTTTCTTTCATTCTTTTCTCAGCCCCTCATTTTGCAAAGACTGAGTTGGGGTAAGCATGTGTTAGGCCTATGTATCATAGTCACTTTTCCTATCTTTATAAAATATCATTTATTAATAAGATAAATAAGAGGATATCATTATGAAAATGAGCTTAGTAATACCAAAAATTACAACACTATGAGACTGACAACAACAAAGATTACGATGACAATGATAACTGATGATGAATGATGTATGATGTCTTGTGACTGATGACTGATGACTGATGACAGATGTATGATGATGACAATTATGGATGATCTTTACAGCAATAACGGCAACAACAACAGCAGTGACAAAAAATATTGACAATGACAAAAATAACAAAAATTATGACAATGGTTGTAGGTGACGATGAAAACTATGACTAACAATGACACTGACACAAACAAAACCAACTACCACCATGGAAATAACAAGAGACAAGCTTGCCAAAATGACAAGAAAACAAACAAAACATGTACTGAAGAAATTCAAAAATCCAAAAATCAATGATAATTCCAATAATAATGAATAAGACACATGTACACATCTGGTCATACTATTTTTTCATCAAATATTGACACCAAAATCTTGTAGAAAAAATCACTATGAATAAAACTACATATACAGCAAATGTATTGTGAAGTAAATAAACTAAGACACACCTAAGTATAGCCTCTATCTTAAAACATATTATACACTCTTCATAATATTTGTATGTCCTGGAAAAAAGGGAATAATATCTTAACATGTATTACAAGTTTCAGAAATATTAAATAATCCTAGGAAAAAATATATCATACTTCATACACAGAAACCATAACCAGTCTTTACTACTCCAGAAACAGCAGTTGCTATCGACAATCATCTGTCCTTTATAATATTCATGTTATAAAAATTTGTAATGATGGTTGCACACATTTTAAACTGATGTTCATCTGCCACAGGGGTAATCTGCTCATATTGCAGAAAAGGATAAGTAATATTCAAATGAAAATTTTGTAAACTCGGTGTTTACAAAATACCTCAATGCCTGACTTTAATCTGTGGTCAGAGTCAATATCAGCTAACCATGTACATGTCATCTACAGAATAATTTGGTAACCCTGAATTTACACAAGTTTAATATTAAAAATACCAAAAATAGACCTTGTTCACAATCAGACAACCTTCAGAATTATCCTATTGCTATACAGACAGACTGCAGATAAACTGAAATGAATAAATAATAAACATAAAATAACCTTTAACTTAAATCATTTACAACATTTAACAGGATAAAACAAAACTCAAGAAAAAAATGAGGCAAACAAGAATCAAAATTTGTTCCAAAGCAACACCTATACTAGGTGTACCCTAATTCCATCCCAGAAAAGTCAACAGGCCCATGTCAATCCTTTTGCACTCCTACTTCTCCTATTCCTCCAATTCCTCTTCCTGCTCCTGCTCCTCCTCCTCCATCCACTCATCCTCTCTTTCTTCCTCTTCTTAAACCCCTTACTCTTCAATCCCCCTTCCTTTTTGACCCTTCCTCCCCTACTTCCATTACTTCCACCTTTCCCCTCTCCATCGTCATCTCCCTCTCCCCGGCTCCTCTTCTTATTCCTTCTCCTCCTCCTCCTCCCTCTCCCTTCCCTCGTCCTCTATCTCCCCTACCTTTCTTTGTCATCCTTTTCCTCTTCTCCAATCCCATTCCCAACAACCCTAACCTCAACCCTACCCTAACAACCTTAACAACCTCAATAATCCCCTCCTCCCACTCTCCCTCTATTCCTTCCCCTTTCCCTCCTCCTCCTCCAGCTTCAAGTCATTCTGCTTTCTCTCTCCATCCCTCAATGCAAAAAAAACAAAAAACAAGGAACTGCTCTAGACATACCTTAGGTGCCTTTGGCTCAGATACACGGAGAGCTTCCCTGAAATAGGCATCGACGGCATAGTTAGCCTTCCGCTCTCTCTTGGGGGGTTCAATCCACATCCCAACAATGGCTTTTTGCTTGTTCCTGAAAGAGAAAACCAGTGAAGATTTCTTTTGTGTGTGTAAAATGTAGAACTAATGTATCTATGAATTTTTAATTATATGCTTTCCAATAAGCACTTACATGTTTTGCCGCAAAAATAAATTTACTTGATACATATAAGCAAACTATCTATAACATGGTATTTACATACTGAACCTATTCATAATTGCATATGCTTTTGTGTGTATGTATATGTGTATGTACCATAATCGTTTATAATAAATATAAGATTACCAATAGCTAGTGTATGCCATCCTTCATTACCTGTAGTCTTCACCCTCGAACTGATACACAGAGTTGGTGGGAACATCCAATGTGAACTGGCGGAGTGACGATTCTCCCATAGACTCCAACTTCTTGTTGAGTTCCTCTGTCTAATGTTTGGAAGAGGAGTATGGTAATTAACTCAACACTCATTCATCTAACCATAACTAAGATGTAGCTACTAACATCTTAGTTATGTATTGTCATTCAATGCCAATATCATGAATTGTGAGAATTCAAATTTTTCAATCAAATCCTAAACCTACCAAAAAGTAACATTACTGCTCAGTCGTCCTTTATTTGAATTAAATGCAAAGTTTTGTAAACCCTATACAATAACAAAGCCACACTTACCTTCTCTTCTCCCCTGCCAAGAATAACATCAATATCTTCATCAGTAAACTCATCATCCTTCCCCTTAAACACTTCATTGGCACCATGACGAATCATGGCTAACATCTCATCCTTGGCAAGGGCGTTAGACTTGTTGTCCATCAAGCGACCTGTATGACCGAAGATATTAAGGACACTAATGCCTAAATGTACTTAGAAGTACATGCACATATGCACATATGCACAAATGCACACTCACACTCACACTCACACTCACACACACACTCACGCACACACTCACACACTCACACACTCACACACACACACACACACACACACACACACACACACACACACACACACACACACCACACACACACACACACACACACACACCACACACACACACACGCACACACACACACACACAAAATCTACTTTACTCGTCCTTAACTTTCACTCACACCCTCTGTTACTGCTTATCTTACTCCTATTCATGTACACACTTAGTGAATTTAATTCTATGCTGTGATTTCAATGCCCTAAATCAAAGTCAACAAATACATTTCTTTTACTAGACTATACATAATCAAAATAGCAAAAATTCATAGGCTTTATGACATAACCCCTTACAGAAGCTCAAAACAACTGAACATGAATCAATGCTAATGATGCTCTACAACCTCCTTACCTTGCTGGATGACCATCTTGTCAAGACGCAGCTTCACCTCGGCACGTTCCACCAGCTTCTCTTCCATGGAGTTCTCCTGAATGAACCTGAACACCTTCACCTGCTTCTTCTGGCCAATACGATGGGCTCTGTCCATAGCCTGGGCAGATGTGGAGACAAAAGGTGATGATTGCAAAGAAAAATATATTGAAAATATATCAAAGAATAAAATATAAATAATATAAAAAATATTCAAATTAAATCACTTAAAATTAATTGAATAGTAATGAGTTTATAACAAGTGGGGAAAAGAAGGGAACACAACTTCAGCCTATACAAACCTGCAAGTCCATCTGTGGATTCCAATCAGAATCATACAAGATGACAATATCAGCTGTGGCCAAGTTGATACCGAGGCCACCAGCACGAGTTGACAACATGAAGATGAACTTCTTTCTGTTAGAAAAAAGTTTTAATTAATACTAAACTACAGCATGAAAATGTATTACAGTCAGATTCCAAAGTATATGCCAAGCTGATATATATTCCTTTTTTCCATCTGTAAGCAACATTTTTACTCGCTCAATTTTAATATATTTCTTTCATCTTATGATTGTTACAAAGTAATTTTTGATCACTAAAATCAAGCATTTAATCATTTTTAGCACACTATGTCTTTTCTACCTAAACACAATTAACTATAAAAATCTGATCAAAATGAACAAAAAATTGTAGTAGTAAAGAATATAAAAGCAGCATTTTTCTAAACTTACGAATCAGGTTCATTGAATTCATCAATCTGCCTCTGCCTGTCTTCATGGGAGGTCTGACCATCAATGCGGCAGTATGAGTATTTACGCCACACGCTGTAATCCTCCAGAATGTCCAACATACGTGTCATCTGGGAGAAGAGCAGCACACGAGACCCCATCTCCAGAAGCTTCGGCAATAATTTGTCCAGAACGATCATCTTTCCAGAATTCTCCACCTGTTTTGAAAAAGGAAATTGTTTTTTTCTCAGTCTTGAGTGAATGTAAGTACATGCTAAAACCAAGTATAGACTGATTACAACAGCCATGAATCTCTAATCTTAGTGACACCTTAAAGAAAAAAGAAAGCAGCTTAGGCAAAAAAATTTAAGATATCTTCAAACCTACCAGATGATAATCAGTAGTGTAAGGTGGGCCAGGCTCAGCACCATCGAAGAGATACACGTGGTTGCAACATTTACGCAACTGCATGAGAATATTCTGCAGTCGCATCTTCTCTGTGCGTCCAGCACCATTCACAATATCAATATCTTTCATCAGGATCTTGGTGTACCTATAATCAAATTAATATATAAATGCATATTCCTATTATTCTTGCTTGACTAACTGGCTGTCTATCAACTAGCAGCCTTAATTTACTCCCTAAGTATTGGTACATCAGTATGAACCAAAAAACATATTGGTCACTTCAAATGAACCATCAACACTTCACCCAACCATAAAAAAACATCAATTATTTACTGCCTGTTACCTACCATTCACGCTGCATCTTGGAGAGCTGGATATACACCTTTGTCTCCTTCTTGGGCAGCAGCCTCTTTTCTACATCTGACTTCAACCTACGAAGCAAGAAGGGGCGAAGAACAGCATGAAGACGTTCCACCAGGGATTGATCCCCGAGGCAGCTGTTTGTGTTGAACCAGGCATCAAAGTCCTGAGAAAACATAACAAATAATCAGGAAATACAAAAAAAGGACTATGCATGAAGTCACTAATTAAGCCCCCCTGTGCCCATAAATGATTACCATTATAATCAAAATTCTAACACATTTATTCACATTAACCCACTAACACCGGTATATTTTGAAGCCGAAAATAAAAGTTTCCAGGCGGCTACAAAATCGGCGCGCAGGGCTTGTCCGGACTCTGCCCACGCACCAGCCGCGGCACTCTGCTAAGTCAGAAGCGCAAGCCCCAATACAGCGTCACACCAGCGAGACACCCAGCAATTATTTTTTCGTGTGTCTCATATGTGGGACACCAGTCGTAAATGGGTTAGAGTGTACCACTAATCAACATACAAAAATCCACAAAATTCCTTGCCTCTGAAGAGCTGAAGACCTCCGGCAACAAGAAGTTAAGCAGGGCCCAGAGTTCATGAAGGTTATTCTGCAATGGTGTGCCAGTCAAGAGGAGACGATTGGTGGTACGGAACTCTCGCACAATTTCAGAAAGTTTGCTCTTTTCATTCTTGATACGGTGAGCCTCATCAATCACCATGTATCTGAAAGGCAAAGTTATCCCTCACATTTCATATTGCCATTGACTAAATTAAGTACTCCACTAAACTTGTTTATTGCAGAAAATATAACACAGTTTATATCATATTATACAAAAATTACATGAAAAAATGTGAAATGTCTTACAACTAATTTTTGGATCAGTTAAATAATTTCAAAAAGAATGATAAAAAATAAAAAGAATAATCTTCCCCTTCTTCCTCATCTGCAGTCTACTGACCTCCAGTTGAATTTTTTGAAGACTGACTTCTCACGGATACACATCTCATACGAGGTGATGCAGACATCCCACTCTCCTGGCATCATTACCTCACGGATGAATGTTGCCTGTGGTACAAATACAGTAATTCCATAAGGTACAAATGAATGTACTTTGCCAATTATCATTACAGACTCAAAGTATAATCACACTTAAAATCCTAATATCATTTATAAGTATCTAGTCTAATGAGGAATGAACACAGACACAAAAATATATAAACTTGAATATAATGTTTTATTACATTACATTAGAAATAAAACACTGATGCACAAAAATACCAATACATTAGTATCACTTTGTTTTCCTCCAAGAAATCTATGGATAATCAGAATTGAAAACAAAAGCACAAATGTTCAAACTTTCCTCATGTAAAGCTCCACACAAGTGAAGAAATCCCAATTAATCCTGACAATAGTACTTACCCTTGTCTCTTGGTCACCAATGAGGCACACAGCACGCAGAGAGGGGCACCACCTTTTGAATTCATTCTCCCAATTGCGCAATGTTGACTTGGGCACAATGACCATGTGAGGTCCAGGGATGTTTCGGAAATGCTTCATGTAACTGTTTGAAAGGAGTCAGTAAATAAGAATATATTTTAGTATATGCATCAAACTCCCTTTCACAACCTTTCACAATCTCAATTATAAATATATAAATAAAAATAAATTTCAAAACAAAAATTAGCTAATACTTTACCCAAGGAGAGAGATGGTTTGCAAAGTCTTTCCAAGACCCATCTCATCAGCGAGGATACCATTGATACCATTCTCATACAGGTCAATCATCCAATTCAGACCACGTATCTGGTAGTCACGCATAGTACCATTGATGATATAACTGGGGCTCTCCTCAAAGCGTGTAATGACCTTCGCATACTTGTTTGACTCAGCCAGCAGCTCCTCATCCTCCTCCTGTTCCGTCATGCGATGACGGTGGCTACAAGGGAAAGTGGGAGTGAAAACCATCTTTGTTTGTAAAGGAAACACTTACAAATGCAGGGGCAGAGATAGAATCAATTCTTTTTTTTTTTTTTCTTAAAAATTACAGTTAAAACATAGGAAACAAAAGACATATACTGTTGGCCATTGCATCGCTGCAGCCCT